TGCAAGCAGAAAGAGCATGGGAGATTACATGAAGTGCCATTTACTCCTGTGTTGATTGGCTGAGGCATGCCAGAGGTTTAGTGATTACCTGGCGTATTTTAAAAGCAATGATTAGTTATGACAGTCCAGTCTGAGCAAGGTCATCGTATTTAAAAGATATCTAAAGGGCGAATGTGGTAAAAATGTAAATAGTTTTTTTTTTTTTTTTATACACCTATAACAGAAATCATTGCATAAATCACTTGCTATGAGTCAACGTTTCAGAGAGGAAATCATTGCACTATTTTCTGTTCTATTATTGCATTTTGTTGTAAAATTTTATTCCTATTCAACAGTAGTAGAAGGCAACAAAGTACAAAAGTAAAAGTGCAATATTTGAGTATAGTCTTTTAGCATCTGTAGTTTACTTTAAGTACAGTTTACAGTGGATACTTTTTACTTTTACTTCATTACATTTGAGAGCATGTAGTGAAGTACTTTCTACTTCATTACATTTTTGTATTTTTCTTTATGGTGTGAGACCTGCTGAAATGGCTGAGACTTATTTTTACCGTTTAATTTGAGTAAGCGTCCCAATTTTGAGCAACCCATATACACAGAAACACAAAAACAGTTAGAAAAATTTATAAATCAGCTGACTCACTTAAAAGCTGCTAAATCACACATTTCATTTATCGTTTAATTGTTCTAAAAATCTCTACGACATACTTTTACTTTGTACTCTCAAACGTAATATTTGAATAGTTTTAGTTGTAGATTTTTTCATGTGATACTTTAACTTTTACTTGAGTAACAAAATTGAATACTTCATCCACCACAGCTATTCAGTCATGCAAGAAAATTTAAGATTATACCACTCTAAAAATGCCCAAACTTGTCTGATCTTGGAAACTAAGCATGATGGGAAGTAACTGAATACATGTACTGAGAGTACAGTATTAGAAAAATAGAAAACACTATTTGTAGTGGGTGCATGTGCAGCTTTTGCTTCTCAAATTAGGGATTAATAAATGTGTAACAAACAGTCAAACAAACACAAAGTTGTTTTTAATCCTATGTTGCGTTTTTACAGTATAAATAAATAGAACTTGATGTAAAAGTATTCAGCACCACTCTGATTAAACCATGTAACTGAATATATTACGAAATACATTTTAATGCAGGTTTTCAGTATTCTGTAACTAAATACATGTTCAAAGTATTCTTCCCATCACTGTAGGCCTGGGTAGTACTTGGGAGACAGACAGGTAACATAGTGGCGGAGCGTTGGTTCAGTGGTTGGCGGTTCGAACCCCGCTCGGACTGGCGCATACTGACGTTGTGTCCTTGGGCAAGACACGTCGCCCACTTTGCCTTAAATGTTGAAGTCCACTTGTGTATGAGTCAGAACCTTTTTGAGAGCGAAACAATGAAAAAAGTGAAATTAGCCCTTAGCTACAATCTGGCGTGTTAGCATGTTTATCAGGTGTGCTAGTTAAAACGCAATTTCCCGACCAAATAAACAAATAAAAATGAAAACAGTTTGCAAATTGAAACACAAATTAATTAATGCAATTGCTGTACTCCCCAAGTTTTGCCCCCAGCACTGACCTAACTAGCTAAAAGAGAATATAAATGTAGTTTTTACTTGCTTGAACAAAATGGGGCGCATCCTCTTCTGTTGGACCACTGCACCTTTTTAGCTCAGCGGATACCTGGTGTTTTAAGAGCGAAAATGAATTTTTTAGTACAACCTCAGGCCTGATCGGGGCCATTAAATATTTACCAGTGTTCTGACAAAACAGCCACTCACATCGACTTCAGATCTGGTAATGATGCACAAGATGGCATTTTCATCTTTTAAGAGATATTTGGCATTTGACAACACAAGATGGAGCGACCTTTTCTGAGAGGATGTTGAGTGCAGGAACATGTGTAAATAAACAGTTTGGAGAGATTCACAAATAATATATGATAAAAGGCCCTGTTACCTAATTCTTTCGATTTTACAAAAATTTGTCTTGTAGTTTACAGATATGTTGCATAAGCAGCTTCTGAGGTCAAAATAAGTCTTCAATGTATGGTTCTGCATAAAGAAGACGTTGGCAGTAGCCTGATTCATCAGCCGGTTTCACTTCGTGGAAACTGTCTGACCTCGCAGTGTTAGGATTCATTCACTCGACGGTAGGCAGGTACTTTTTTTATTTAACCAATCCCTGCTATTTGATCGTGACGTATGTAATGCGCCGCTAACTGGGCTAACTGGGCTAACTGGGCTAACTGGTATATTAAGCTTTTCCCAAATCCCGTAGGAAGAAGGGCAATAACGTCTTTCCCCTTGATAAAATTCACCAAACATTCTCATTGTTCCAGTAATCGTTGCCAAAACAGAATGTATGGCTCTTCGCTGATTGTCAGGTGCCCAAACTCGCACTTCCGAGGTTCTTGCAAACCATCTAGTGTATTCTGATTCCTAACCTAGTCGCTGGAGCAAAATGAAATTGAGCGGAGGCACTAGGTGGCGTGAGCCTGGCTACTTTGGCAGGCCTTGCACCAGAAAACCTATAGTCAGTTAAAGGGCCCATATTACACTATTTTCTGATGTATGTTACACTGTTGTTTCCATATAAACAAAACATTGTATTGTTGTTTTTTTTTTATTCACAACACACAAACCCTGCATATTTAGACTGAGTTCTTCTCTCAAACAGAAGACACTGGTTTTCACGTTGTGGTGCAGTGTGGCAATACAGGAAGTGCTCCATTGTGTTTTCAAACTCCATACACCTTCATGGGAATCACTTGGATAATTTGAGACATGGAATTGCCCATCTCCACTGAACTTAAGCTTACTTAGCTTAGCTGCTAACTTGAAAACTACCACTACCTGACATCACAAGGTGGAGCATTTTGAGCTTTGAGATGTATACATATTAATATTACTTCTATATTTATTAAGAATGACTAAAACTTTTGTGAATGGAGTAAAACACAACTGTAGGTATAGTTTTAATGAGGTGACAACATTATATAAGAGTCAATTTTGCATGATATAGGAACTTGAATGTGATTGTGTGGCAACGTGTCTCCACTCTGTCTCATTTCAGCAGTAGTAGAACCATCAGCCTCTTGAGTCTCTTCATCTTCTTCACCACCTGTTGTCTAGTTATTTTCCTTAATAAATATGCAGTCCTCTCTCCTCATCCCATTGCCTATATTTCAGTTTATATCCTTTTTCATTAAAAGATTCTGTTAAAGTCTCCAAATGTTTGTTTTAGCCTCAGAGCTGTTGTCGTGTGCCTTTGGTGCTGTGACATTTAACAGGAGCCTCGCCTTAATCAGCTGTCTCGTCTTTGTAGTGAGATAGGGATTAGAAGTTACCCCCCGCTGGATACTTCATCTGAACATTGTACAACAACTTCCGCACCAACCCTCCATCCTCTGTGATCAGCTCACGCTCAGACATAATCCCAAATCCGATATACAAAGAATATCCAAACTCGTTAAGCCCACTCAAACATGGAGCCTTCAAACACTGCGCAGTATCCAAACACAACGGTTAGCATTGTAATAGAAACATTTGCATCCCAACAGCTTTAGCTAAACTTTCAAAACATACAACACCTTAAGTCATTAACACCTCATGTTTTTCTCACTATGTTACCAACGGCAACACATTAAGAACTTGCAAAATCACTTGGGGCTATTGTCAATATGGATGCTTATACTGTGTAAAGCAAAGCTGAAGATTTGTGCAGTGTAAAATGTTAAAAGAAACAGAAATGGATGATTCAGAAATATACTGACCAATCTGGTTTTCACTAAAATAAATATTTTGCGATCCAGAACACACACGTCTCCAGTACTAATACCAAGATGTGAGTCTGGTCACTATTGAATCTCTCTGAGTTCAGTGAACGTGACTGACAGGTGGATTAGCCAATCAGGTCTGTCTGTACTCAAACAAGTTGCTTACAATCTTGAGGCTCAATGGCTGATACATGTTCAAAAACTACACCAGAGCTCTCTCTGGTCTGTTTTTTCAGCTAATGGTTTTATTCTAGCACAGTAAGTAAGTAATTCAAATGAGGGAAAAGAAAGGGAAAAATATCACAGGGGACTGAAAAATATTTAATATTTTCAGAATCAATGTGCAAAGCACACATTTGAAAGTAGATATTTGTTTTGTTCAAAATGGTGGGTAACCAACGAGCTTCTTTGTTTCAAAAGTGTTACTGAAATAAGTGAATGTGATTGCACAGCACTGTCTGAATCTGACTCAAGGTGTGACAGAGAGAAGAGTGAACAAATTAGTATGAGCATTACAGAGATTAGTTTAAAAGTGCATTGTGCACTTGTCTGCTGGAGGGTCCATCACCTGCTTGTCTCCATGGAGATGTGCCTAAATGTTCCACAGTATGGCCTTAAACTTAAGAATCTCCATGGAAACCTGCAAGAAAAGTATATTTACTTGGAACATTGTCAGTATTGATCAGTTGAAATATTCTGTACCAAATAGTATATTACTACTACTACTACTACTGCTACTACTACTACTACTACTACTACTAACACTACACAAAGACAAGAACACATATTGCTTATAAATTATTGTTATCGCACACTGACTTCACATCTAGAGCATTTTTACCCATTAACTAATGGATCCGTGACTTGAGCATGTTTTGGCATTGACATCTACGTCTTGTTAGGAGTCTGCATTTTGAAATTGTGTCAAGTTCATGCTTTTCTTTGTTAAATATAAGTTGAATTTCAAGAGTTGTTCCTTTCCGCTTGGTAATTCCTCTTCTCCGTGTCAATTTTGCAAGTTTGTTAGCAGACTGCATCAAATCAGGCATGACAGATTCACTGCTCCACAGCGCCTATCTCCCCTAACTGGAAATTAAATACAGACACCCTCATGCTGCTTTACACTTTACACCATTACCTCACATTAACTTTGACTTTATCCAATTGTGCATGATTGAATAATGAATTTCCCCCTCCTCTCCCCCTTGTAGCTTGCGAGCTGATGAACCAGGGCATCCTAGCCCTGGTCACCTCCACCGGATGTGCGGCTGCTCTGGCTCTGCAGTCGCTAACGGACGCCATGCACATCCCGCACCTGTTCATCCAGAGGAGCAATGATGGGTCTCCACGCACCGCCTGCCCCTTCAGCCCCAGCCCGGACGGGGAGAGCTACACCCTGGCAGCGCGTCCACCCGTCCGGATCAACGAGGTGCTGCTGACGCTGGTGGCCGAGCTCTACTGGCAGAAGTTCATTATCTTCTATGAGAGTGACTACGGTGAGTGTTGGGCTGTGGGGGAATCCAGCAGTGAACAGGGAGGGGATATGTGCACTGTGTAGTGTTTCTGGAGGAGAGTACTCCACCTGCTTGTCTCCATGGAGATTTGTCTGGAATGATCTACTGTATGTAACCTTCATCAAAATCCATCCATGGAGATAAGCAGGCCAAGTTACAGGTCAGATCTGTGGAGAGCTGTCCCCGCTCCAAGTAAAAAATGTTTTTCAAAATTTTTGAGTGATAACAAAACCTGTAATTGAATAAATGCAAGATAATCCTCTACTGTGGTTTATACATTCTATGTAAAGCAATATCATCTCTCTGACACAAGCAGGTACCCTCGTCCAGAAAAGTTACCTAGTGCACCTTTAATATGTGGGATACAATAGAATGCATAATATAATGCCAGGGAAACATATTAGTCAGAAAAATGGAATTTGATGTAATAAATTTCAGTATTTCTCTAAGCTGTGTGATTTAATGGTATGACTGCAGCAAATTTGCAAAGCAACTCACCTTCTTAAGTTTATAAGTTGAGTTTTATGAGTCCTCGTAAAGTTTGCCAAATTTCTCTCCTCGCTTTGTGACGTGCACTGAAACCTACATTAGTCATAAAATAAAAATGGCCATTGTGCAAAATGTAGGCTCGCATAAATGAACTTCTATATTACTTCTTATGGAAAAAAAGATTACTCAATTTTGAAAAAGCGGTACCTTTTGGAAAATTTTCTACACCTTAGGTCCAATGTGCTTTGTCAAATTGTATTTTAAAGGGCCCATATTATGCTTTCTGAGTCTTTTTATAATGTTGTTTCGTTACCCAAAAAATACCTGGAGTTGTGTTTCGTTTCATTCACACATATTTAACCCTGCACATTTAGCCTGTGTTCCTCTCTCAAACTGAAAACACTCTGATCCACCTTGTCATGTCATGTGGTAATACAAGAAATAGTCCACTGTGTTTTAAAACTCCATATTCCTTCACAAGAATCATTTCAATCATCAGTTATTTCAGCTCTGGAGTTGCTCATCTCTACTGAACAAAAGGTAAAAGGAGCTGCTCACTTGAAAACTACCACTTCATGACATCACAAGGTGGAATAGAGCATTTTAAACTTGTTGATGTGAACAGATTAATATTAAAGGATTACTCAAACATGTGTGAATGAAACAAGGCACAACTCTGGGTATGTCTTTGATGAGATAACAATATCATAACATGACTTGCAGCTCACAAGACTCATTTTTGCATAATATAATGCAGTAATAATGCATCAGTTTAATATAGCGCTTATCTGGACACTCAAAGACGCTTTGCAGAGCATTATTCATACACTCCACACTCAGCCTTGCTTAGCTTCTGAGATCTGACAGGATCAGGCTTTGACAAGCTGGAATGGCCACATAGGACCTTTAAAATATAAATGAAAACTTTGTCATAATTTCCCAAACACTCTACTCCTCTAATCCAATATTGTGCAATGTGAGTCAAAGACGTTCATCTAAAACCCACTTGTTGCCCTTAAATCTCATGTTTATGTTGTGTGCGCACCATAATTATTCTTGAGTCTGTATCTCTGGAGTGAGGCCGACAGACAGTGAAGATCAGGGCACGTCTCAAGCTGGCGTTCCCCGCATGTGCTAAAGAGGATATAGTGATCTTAAGATGAAAACGCATCACGCCACTCGCATAAAGACTCACGACTTGTTTGCGTAGAGCTAAAAAATGGATTTGTCTCCGAATTATACGGAGAAGCACTCACCTCCCAGAGCGCCGTTCATCATTAGCATCTCCATGAGCAGACAAGGCGCTGTCTAATTGGCTCATAGGCTTGTGCTGTGGTGTATATATATTGTGTTTTTGTGTGGCTCCCTCCAGCACCCCTTAGGCGAGCTAGACCTGTTTTGAATTTGGCAAAAGGGAGAACACTTGACAGAACTCTTTGGCAAGGGACAGAAGTATAAAGAGGCAGGAGTTATGAATAAGCTATGAGGAACATGCTCTTAAAGGAGACATTATGCAAAATTGCTTTTAAACCATGGTGTTAAAATGGTTTCTCTCAATTGAGCTGTTTCTATTATTAAGATGTTGTTTTTTATCCATATTGTGGTTTAAAGGGGAGAATATAAAATAATCTATGTGCACCAGAGATTAAAACTAAATAGAAAAAATTCATTAAAGGGTCCATATTACGCTATTATGCTCTGATTTGTATATTTATTTATTTTCTTCATGAATGAACATACCTGGAGTTGTGTTTTGTTTCATTCACACATTTAACACACAAACCCTGTGTATTTAGTGAGTTCACCTCTCAAACAGAAAACAGTCCCTCCACCTTGTGATGCCATGTGGTAACACAGGAAATGCTCCACTAGGTTTTTAAATACACCTTCACTATCATCAATCATTTGGATAATTTCAACCCTCGAATTGCCAATCTCTACTGAACTAAAAGTAAAACATAGCTATTAACTTGAAAACTACTGCTTCATGACATCACAAGATGGAACATAGCATTTTCAGCCTTGAAGATGTAGACAGACTAATAAAGGAGGATTACTCAAACATCAAACTCAAACAGCTCCAGGTATGTTTTTGATAAAGACAGAACATTACAACAGACCAGAAAATAGGATAATATGCATCCTTTCAGTAAAATGTAAGTGTGAAAACATCCAGTAGCTGCTTTTCTCCATCTATTATTATGGCCAACAAAGATCACAAATCACCATCCGTAGAAATAAAGCTATTTTTCTCAAAGATGTATTTGTAAGTATATTTTGCAGCCTGGGGCAGAGATCATTATGATAAACATGTTTCATTCTTGTGTATTCAAAGTTATGTGTGTATTCTGAGGTGAGAGACATTTGGCAGAAGGCAGAATGGAGCTTGGCACAGGGCAGTGGTACAAGGGCAGGCTGATGGCGAGCACAGTGCTGCATTGGCGTTCCTCTGATGATACTCTCCCACTGCTGGCTAATCTTTTTACTACTTAGCCGAGTGCAATCTGGATGCGGGTGTAAATCTGTTTTATTTTTATTTTTTTACAGGGCTAGCTCGTGATCTAGTGTGCACTAAAGCAGCGCCCTAGGGCAGAACAGTAGCGGTAGGAGAGCTGTTTGGCGTGTATGTCCTTGCTTGTATCTGACATTGGTGCTCCTTACAGAAAGCGTGCACTCAGCATCAAGAGGGATCGATGGGATTCTCCACATGGTAGCCGGCTTTACGCTATCTCTGGTGAAGGGGTCTGTCCATCTGTGTCTCCCTTATGTCCCTGTATTTTAACTTCTGAACTGAACTGGCTGTAAGCCTGGCTAAGTGCACTCTATAGGGGATGTCATGCTCTCAACTTACAGGGGCATGTCTCATGGCGGACACATGGGGAAACACAAAGACTGTATAAAGAAGTGGACTAAGGACTTCTCTTTGTTATTATTTTAGATTGTGATGTTTGTGCGACTGTGTCTAAATACTTTCCCTTGTGGATCAATAAAGTTTGTCTAAGTCTAAGGGCACTTAGCAATGGTGTCAATCAAACCTGTTGCTAACGCTAACAGAAGTGACTTTAGGAAATGGCGGGTAATAATGTTCGTATCTTGATTTACGGACAAAATAGTGAAATAGAAACACCAGGATCATGTAGAGCAGGTGAGTACAAACATTTTAAAACCGAAATGACAAGCCTGACAGCAGCAATTACGGAGAAAGGGGTGACATTTTTCAACAGAAAGTTAATTGGAGTCAATGGAGCCCATGTTCATTTACTGTTATGCTATTGTACATTTATATATGCAGTCTATGGGGAAACTAGAATAAAGCTGTCTCTGGTCTGGCTTATTCAGATAATGTTTTAGACTTTCACAGTAAGTAAGTCGTTCAAATATGTGTAGCTACATATATTGTCACAAGGCAAGACAAGGCAAGTCTATTTGTATAGCACAATTCGTTCACAAAGTAATTCAAAGTGCTTTACAGAATAAGAAATACATTAAAATCACAATAAAAACTAATCAAAGCATAAATATTATCTCTCTTTTATAAAATTAAAAAGAGAGAGACATTAAATGAGAGAGAAGAGTGCAGAATGAAAACCTTTCAGTCAAACGCAGCTAAACAGAACGTTTTGAGCCTGGATTTAAACAGTGTCAGAGTAGAGGACTGTCTCACATCTTCAGGAAGACTGATCCAGGTTTTAGCTGCATGAATCTGAAACGCTGACTCCCAGTGTTTAGTCCTGACTTTGGGCACCAGCAGGAGGCCGGTCCCTGAGCTCCTCAGAGTGCGAGATGGTTCATGAAGCACTAGCATGTCACAGATGTACTTTGGTGCTCGGCCATGGAGAGACTTGTACACAAGCAGAGCTGCTTTAAAGTCTATTCTCTGAGCCACAGGAAGCCAGTGCAGAGACCTGAGCACACGACTTATGTGCTCGTACTTCCTAGTTCGAGTCAGGACCCGAGCTGCAGCGTTCTGGATGAGAATGCTGTCACAAGAACAGAAATAACTGCAACATATTATCTGAGCTACCAAATGATTGCTTTATATTTATAGATTGGTTGGGCTATCCATGGGTTTCAGAATGATACAAAACTAGGACCATTGCTATAGTGATTAACAAATAAAACAAAATATATCTTCTGAATGGGGTAAAGCCTTCACAATGTTGCATATAACAAAAAGCTGACACCTATGAATAGTTCTGAGTTCTCTACATCTGATCCATCCACCATTACTTCATGTGCAACATGTCTGTAAAACAATTCTGAAGTACATTTATGAAAGATGGTTAAAGGTAGTAAAGTAATACTAGCAGTTAAAGGTAGTACAACTAATGAAAATATTAATAACAGTGTTGATCTATGCAGTACAAAAACACAAGTACCAAACATTAAAAAAAACAAAACAAAACATGTTTACATTTTGTATTGTGGTTCTCAAAACTCTCATGGTTCTTCATTTTGTGTTGCCAGATTGCATAACTTAAAACACCTTGTCT